GATCTACATGTCCTTGCCGTTTTTTAAATTATCCATTTCACCTTAGGTGTCTTTTATATGATTAATTTGGATTTAATATAATTTTGTATCAATCTTCTCGTAGTATTAGTAACACCTTGTACGGATGTATTGGTATTTGGTTGATGTTTTTGACATTTTATATTGATTGGTTAGTGTTATTAACATGTTATATGAAGAATTTTTATTCAACAGTTGTATATTAAGTTACTAAATAATTCTATACGTTTAAATTATTTACTAGTTTCTTAAAGAAGCTATTTCTTTATCAACTATATTTTCTTTATTTACGAAATACACAAAACATATAAGTTGCTTAGCATTTGCTTAAATCGCCTCTTCACTTCATTTTTATTTCTTAGGAAAATTTGTCTCAGTTTGTATAATTTATGTAACCATTTACATCCTCTTCAGTTTACGTCTGGCTGCCGTTAGCTGCCAATCTGCGGGTCATTACCCATTTATAAAATATATATTTTTAAAAAATGTTTGCTTCTTCACTTAGTTTAGATTTAACGTAGGTCATATTTGATTGGTTGATCACACTAAAGCCACAAAGATTATAACCCCCACTTTTTTCGTGAATATACCGTTCACGCGTCAGTAATTTATAATCACCTGATGAGATGGATTGAAAATATTGCTCTACTTTGTATTGAGGCCTCTCTTAAATTGAATGTTGCAAACGTTGGAATTGTACTCTATTCGTTCTCATCTTACCTGGTTTGGTTTGGTTTGGTTTATTTTGTTTTACGGCATATCAACCTCAATGGGTTATTTAATGCTGACAAAATTTTTTATTTCTGGTAATATTTTGTTTTGTCAAAAATCTGTTTCTGGTAATATATTTCCTTCAAAATTGTATTGCTGGTAATAATTTATTTCAAAAAAAATATTGCTGGTAATAGTTAACTATTTGCCCATAGCTGGGACCCTAACCGGGGCTACCACCCCGGGTCAGGATGTACCTGTGAACACCAACAATTAAGAGGTGGTTTCACGCTTCTCAAAACCTCCTGATCAGAGGCCTTGCTGCTGGACGTAGTTTAACGTCTTACCCAGGACGCGGATGTAGTTTAACTTCTTACCCATGAAGCTCATCTTACCTGTATATATATATATATATATGTGTGTGTGTGTGTGTGTGTGTGTGTGTGTGTGTGTGTGTGTGTGTGTTTAAGCAATTATTTCTTTAAAACCTAGGATTATTTCTTGCGAGACTACCCGTGACCACATTCAGGTTATATACCATTGAAGTTGATGTCAACATTAAAAATACTCTATTTGAAGAAAGTTGAGGTAAACAAATCGTATTTTTAAATCTTATTCACTTAAAATATTTTAAAAATCAGATTAACTTAAAAATATGTTTCATATGCCAAAAAATATTTTTAAATCATATTAACTTGAAAATATTTTTAAAATATGTCAAAAATATTTTTTTAAATATTAAAATATTGTTGTTTATTTAAAGAAAGCGGAAATATAAATAGTCTACAAACAACTGGACGAAACAGCAAAGCGTGATCTGATCTGCCTCACTTTTTAACTTAAAAATATTTTAACTAAAATAATGTTTGTTTGAAGTTAAAAATATTTACTCTATAAACAATGTGTATTTTTAAATCTTAATCACTTAAAAATTACATTAACATAAATCATTATATGCCAGACAGATGCCCAAAAAATCACAGACTTTTAGTTTTATACAGATAGATATTTATTTATTTATTTAGATAGATAGATAGATAGATAGATAGATAGATAGATGGATAGATAGATATGCCTATATAGATATGTTTGTATAGATAGATTATATTTTAGTGTAAACATGTTTTTGTGTAGATATCGCTGATTTTTTTTACAAACAGTGGAATTATATTGCACTTTTTACATAGTTCTGACTTGTCCTCATCTTTATTGTCACTTTCACGGCGTTTCGACACTTGTACACCTCTCCTCTTCAGGGGATATGTTTTGAAATGATCTATGTTTACTCAGACATTAGACATATAACTTCCAAAAACGTTACTCAAGTACACTTGGAATAGTTGGCAAAAGCGTTGGGTGATTGATCCCAAAATGTGTCATGACCCCAACTTTGTGAGTTGAATCCTTGCGACCGAACAATGTAAATAGTGTAACTGTTTACAATAGCTCATGTCAGAAATATAGACACATGTGAAATTAATGTCTATTTTCCTAGATTACAGAGAACACAAATCTTGGAGAGATATCAAGGTGAATTAACTAAAACTGAGATAATCCAAAGACATGGTACTTGAAACTAGAACAATTTATCCCCTCCTCCACCCCGTGAACTAAATAAAGGGTTCGATTGAAATTCCAACAAATATCACCTGAAGAAGGCCGGAGCGTATAACGATGAAACTTCTAAGGCAACGTTAATTGCCATCTTCTGTCTTCAGAAAAAGCTGTTCTGTTATTGTTTTTTTTTTTTTCCGCATTTCTTCTCACTGTTGTCTTCTCTTTTTCACTCTTAATGTCATAGTAGCATTATCGCCTTTCTTGGGGTGAAACGATTAAAAAGAAAATTAAAGAGAAGTAAAATGCGAGCAGGTATTTCTTCAGTTATACACCTTGTTTGTTTCTTTCTTTCTTTCTGCTCCCTTCTTTTCACTCCGTTCTGCTCCTTTCATTTTGTTCAGATATCTTCTTTCTTTCTTTCTTTCTTTCTTTCTTTCATTCATTCTTTCTTTCTTTCTTAAAACTGATGTTTTCTCACGGACGTTCCTTGTGCGTTCTTTTTTGCGTTTCCCCGCACTGTTATGTTTTCTTTTGTATCTCCTTTACTTCCGTCTTTCTTTCTTTTTTTCTTTCTTTTTTTCCTTTCTGTTTTCTTTTTGTCTTTCATTGTACTGTTATGTTCTCGTCTGTTTTTCTTTCTTTTCTTCCATTTTCTTTCTTTCCCTTTTCTTTTCGTCTTTCATCACACTGTCATATTCCCTTCGGTATTTTTTCCTTCATTCTTTCCTTCTTTTTCTTGCTTTCTTTCTTTCTTTCTGTCTTTTTTTCTTTCATCGCACTGTTAGGTTCTCTTCAGCACTTTTTTCTTTCTTTCTTTCTTTCTTTCTTTATCTTTCAATGCACTGCCATGTTCTCTTCTGCATTGACTTTCTTTCTTTCTTTCTTTCTTTCTTTCTTTCTGTTTTTGTTATGTCGTTCCTTGCCCTGCTATATTCTCTACTGTATTTTCTTTCTCTCCTTCTTTCTTTCTTCTTTCGTTCTTTCTTTATTTCTTTCTTTCCTCTGTTACTTCTTTCTTTCTTTCTTTCTTAGTAGTAATTTTAGTTGACAATGACTGGCTATTATTTGCATGCTTGCATCTTCGTACTGATCCTTTCTTTCTTAATTTCTTTCTCAATTATTTCTTCTTTTCTCGCACTGATCAAATTTTCTTTCCTTTTCTTTACATTATTTTTCTCATTTACATCTTCCATTGTTATCTCTCTTTCTCTTCCTGCTTCTTTTTCGTCTTCATTTTCCGTTCTCTATTTTCAAAACTTTCCCCTTTCGTTTCTTTACTTTTATATTCTTTCTTCGTCTTCGTCTTTGTCTTTTTTTCTTTTTTGTCGCTCCAATAACATATAAATCGCTTCTTGCCTTATTTCTGTTCAGAATTGGTATTATCTTTGCCTTTAATACTCTTTACCATCATACATTTCTTTAATTATTTATTTAGAACGTTTTATAGATATCCTTTTCTAGCTTTATTTTCACTTACCTCTTGTTTCTTTCTTTTTTCTTTATTTATTTCTCCGTTTTTTTTATTTCATCTTTCTTTCTTTCTTTCTTCATTTTTTCTTTCTTTTTGTCTATCATTGCACTATTATTTTCTCTTCTGTATCTTCTTTCTTTCTTTCTTTCTTTCTTTCTTTCTTTCTTTCTTTCTTTCTTTCTTTCTTTCCTACCTTGTTATGTTCTCTTCTGCCTTTTCTTTCTTTCCTTCTATCTTTATTTGTCTGTTCTTTATTTATTTCTTCCTTTCCTCCGGTCTTTCTTTCTTTCTTTCTTTCTCAACACTACTCCCACTGTTATGATCTTTTCTGTATCTTCTTCCTTTCTTTCTTTCTTTCTTTCTTTCTTTCTTTCTTTCTTTCTTTCTTTCTTTCTTCCATCCATTCCTTCTTTCTTTCTTTCTTTCTTTCTTTCTTTCTTTCTTTCTTTCTTTCTTCCATCCATTCCTTCTTTCTTTCTTTCTTTCTTTCTTTCTTTCTTTCTTTCTTTCTTTCTTTTCTTTTTCTCTGTTATTCTTTTCTGCATCTTCTTCCTTTCTTTCTTTCTTTCTTTTTTCTTTCTTTCTTTCTTTCTTTCTTTCTTTCTTTCTTTCTTTCTTTCTTTCTTTCTTTCATCCATTCCTTCTTTCTTTCTTTCTTTCTTTCTTTCTTTCTTTCTTTCTTTCTTTCTTTCTTTCTTTCTTTCTTTCTTTCTTTCTTTCTTTCTTTCTTTCTTTCTTTCTTTCTTAACACTAATCCCACAATCCCATGTTATGTAAGACAAGCACGCTGAACGTGTCTAGATGTATTATTTATTCAACCAAATGACGTGTGTTATTCTTTTCAAACGAAGCAACTCACTAATGTTTTTCAAAGACCTCCCTCCGTTACTCACCAGCGCTTATGAAAATGTTTTACGCCAAGCAAAAATAGAAAATGGCGAGGTAGAAAAAAGCCAAGGTAAACAGTACAAGTTAAATGGCACAAAAAATAAGGTAAAAAATAAAAATAAAAGAAACGAAAAAATAAGAAAAATGAGAGAAAAAAAATAGAAAAAAATAACTAAAATGTGAGTTAAGAAAAAAAAATCTTCTACTCCAATCCAAAATGGTGGGAAGTCGTAAGTGGTACAATTTTCTTTGACTTCTTAATGGCGATTCGGAATTGGTTTAAAATAGAGAATGTTTTATTAGGAATCGCTCGGTGCTGTTTAAATGCATAGGTATGTTTGAATTATACAAGTTATTAGATAGATAGATAGATAGATAGATAGATAGATAGATAGATAGATAGATAGATAGATGAAGATAGATAGATATGATCAGTATATAACATGTTCATATATATAAAAACTGAGGCAACATGTCAGGTAAATAAATTGATATGAACGCTGGAAGAAATATATGCAGGAATTATGTAAGATATTGACAAAATATGAAACACAACAGACACACACACACACACACACACACACACACATATACACATATATATATATATATATATATATATATATATATATATATCGAGAGAGAGAGAGACAGATAGAGACACAGCTGGATAAATGGAGGATATTAACATGTCAAGAGAAATGGATGGATAGATAGATAGATAGATAGATAGAGAGAGAGAGAGAGAGAGAGGGATATGAACAGGCTAAGATAGATAGATAGATAGATAGATAGATAGATAGATAGATAGATAGATAGATAAACAGACAGACAGATAGATAGATAGATAGATATATTGATAGATAGATAGATATCATCAGTATATATATATATATATATATATATATATATATATATATATATATATATATAGAGAGAGAGAGAGAGAGAGAGAAAGATAGTTGGATAGATAGGTAGAGGATATGAACAGGCTAGGATAGCTAGATGGATAGATAGAGAGAGAGGATATGAACAGGCTAAGATAGATAGATAGATATGAGCAGAATATATTAGATTCGTATTTCAAAGCTGAGAGCCATGAATTAAACTGAACTCAGGAATCAATTTATGAAGGATCTGGGCTAGATATTTACAAAGGATGAAACAAAACTTATATATATATATATATATATATATATATATATATAATAATGTATTTTTGTTAAATTTATTTAAAATATTTCTCTTGTTTTGATGTGTAATATTTTATTATGTTAATTGTCTGTTAAATATTGGCATTCGGGACGCAGTTTAACATGACAGTTCGGACGAACACTTCTATCTGCTGGTTAATAACACTTTTATTTTGTATATATGTTCTGTTATTTCAGTACACTTGTTCAACCTACCTTCTTCTTTCCGCGTCTTTCTTCCTAATAGGCCACAGCAGTAATTGAACCGAGATCACAGAACAATCAAAAATAAATTGAAAACATAATACGTTATGAACAAGTAAAACAAAATGACTTTAAGAATGTTTCCAACTGATACTAAAGAAAAAAAAATTAGTTTTCAGTTACTGTGGTTTTAATTTTTAGCTTTTACGTTCTCCCAGGGCTTAGTAATCAGTTTTTTCTTTGTGAATTTGTCAATTCATTACCTCTTGCCATGATGATAACCTTCTTGCACGAATATCAGTTACAGAATGTTTGTAATTTTCAGGTTAAGTATATCTACTAATAACATTATTAGAACATTCTGGAATATTCTACTTAAATAATCAAGAGTATTAAAGCAATTTAAATGTTTTAAATTGTTAAATTCTCATTGTATGAATACTTTTTTCACCTATTATAATAGATAAATGGGATCTATTTCTATTAAATCATTTTTTTTTCTGTTTTCTATGCATATTTATTATGCATCTGTGTACAGTTAATTATATGAAAAGAATGTTTTTTTTATTAATTGGAAATAAAATTAATTAAAATTTTGTATTTGTGCAAATATTTACCCCCCACACTGTATATACAGAAATCCCTCGATTAATACAGTTAATATGTAAATCGGTAACTATGAAAAAAAATCAGTTTTCAATTACTATGGTTTTAATTTTTGACCGTATTAAACGATTATTATGTATGCCCTTATCGAATTTTGGTATATAAAAATTTTAGCGCACTAATCGAAAACGTATTAATGAAATGTGCATTAATCGAGGGTTTCTCGTTTATATGAAAGAAAGAAACCACACAAGTAATGGAACTCAATGTTAGAAATAAGAATGATAATTAAATCGACATCACAGAACAATAAAAAATAAATTGAAAACATAATAAGTTATGAAGAAGAAAAACAAAATGACTTTAAGAATGTCACCAACCGATACTTAAGAAAATAAAAATGAAAAAGACGGTAATCATCAAGTTAATTCTATTGACCAGTAAGAAAATATTTGGGTTGTTTGTGTAAACGGAGAGAATAGATGCAAAACAATTAGGAGCATTGACTACGACTAATGTCTTAATTGTAATTTTAGCTTTTTCCAGATAAGGAAATATTTGGCATTCATTTTCTCTACCCAATTTCACTCGCAAGGCAAGCGGCGATATCGTTTCCAAAGGATCGGAACGCTCGGATTGTTGACACAAAAGGTCATTCAGAAGTCAATTTCCTGACTAACCTTCTATGCCGAGATTCGAACCCGAGTCCCACAGAAAAGAGAAATTAGGAGCATTGGCTAACGTCAGGAGAAGACGACTAATGTCTTAATTGTAATTTTATCTTTTTCCCGATAAGGAAATATTTGGACATTCATTGATCAAACAACCAGCACTGCTTTCATTTTCAATTCATAAATTCATTCTCTTAAAATACTTTTTTGATGATAAAAGATTTCTCAAGTACATTAGCTGTTATCGCTTTTTCTCGTCTTGATGGGGTTTCCTTCCAAATCAATTATTTAAAGTTGTATTGAATGTTAACATCTTGATTATGTCATTATTTTCTCTTTAAGATACATGTGCTATCCATTTTAGGGATTGCTGCTGTTGGTAGTCCTCGAATGATGTAGTTTCTATTATTTGGTACGTTTCTTTGTTTGTCAATCTGTAACATCAGTCCACAATGTGATATTTTCGAAAACTTTAGCCTATACTCAGTCAAAGCCTTCTTTTTTACCATTTTAAGGGAGTGATTGTACACAGCTGACAGTTTAGATATTTCTGAGCAGGTTTTGCACCATAAATATGAAAATCTTGAAATGACGACGCTATTCAAGAACATGACTCGAGCTTCCAGGTTGATGTTTTGGTTGTGTAGGTATTTGTGGTCTTCTGCGAAACAAACTCCTATTCTATGTTCAAATTCCCTCTTTCCCATACACAATTTCTTTATAGCTGATCTATGTGACGAGGTAACTAAAGGGTTTAATATTTACCAATTTAACATTGTGAATTTTATTTGATGGATGCAAGGTTGATGTCATGTCTGCTTTCTTTTCAATTTCAGTTCATAGCTTCTGTTTGGGAAAGGTTTATCTTGAGTCGCATTTATTAGAACATTTCATAAGACGATTCTTGCTTTTTGTTTACGATCATTCTTATCCTAATTATGTCATCGGCAAAGCCCACCTCATCATTGGCCTCAGTAGGGAAAACAAGAACTTTGTCTTCTATTTGTAGATTCGTTTTGTATGCAGTAAGGCAGGTTAAATTAATCAGTGCCCATCTCATCACATCTACGTTTACAAATGCACATGGCCTAGTCAAGGAAGAGATTAAATCGACTTAGAAGAGACGATAGTTTATTTCATGCATTAGCATGAAATTCAGGCATGAAGAATGCAATCAAGCAGGAAATTGACTGTCGCTTTTTTGTCTTTGGTCTTAGTGTCCACTTTCATATTTATATTTACATACGCTCTAACTCTGATATCGAGCACTAAATATAGCATACCTTAAAACTATATATATGTATAAAAATATATATATATATATATATATATATATATATATATATATATATATATATTATTATTATTATTATTATTATTATTATTATTATTATTATTATTAACACTGTGCCCAATAACAGTGATAGAGCTAGTATATTCAGTTGTATGGATATGAGTTTGTGACCCTAGGTTTCTCGCTTTTGCGATCATCAGACAACCACAAACAAGCATAAATAGATTCAACCTTTAAAAAATAAACGAGTTTCTCTGATGATCAACAACTGAATATATATATATATATATATATATATATATATGCGTGTGTGTGTGTGTGTGTGTGTGTGTGTTATGGTAATTTACCCACGCACGCATGGACTCTCGTAGCTATAAATAGGCGCGGTAGACAATTTTGCATATTCTCCGGACGAGGATATAACTTTCGCTTCCTATTTTAGAAGGTACGAGGATTTATACGCTACAGGTTGCGCGCATTGGGTAAACTTTAAGAAGGTTCGCCTACTACTTCGAAAAACTATGCACCAGATTTGCGAACTATATTTTACCACATAAAACAAGCGAACTGACATTTACCGAAGCAGTTAAACTTTTTACAGGACTTTTTAGTCCAAAAACTTCACTTTTTCATAAGAGATGAATTTAATCAGAAATAATAGTGAATATTACAATACATTCACCTCGGACTTGAACAAGCATTGCGACGATTTTAAACTGTCAGAATTGAGTTCGAATATTTCCAAGTGTCCGATATTTGTCCAAGGACTCGTTTCATCTAAAGACGTTGAAATTACATGTAGGGTTCTGAACAAATTGGAAAACGAGCCAAACCTTATTCTCAAGAAATAGCGGAAGAATGTGAGAGATTGGTAAGCATACGCCAAGATTCGAAAACATCGAGGAATTTGGCATAGTACACATAAGAAAGTTACCCCCCCCACAAAAACAAAACAAAACAAAAACAAAACAAAACAAACAAAAATAATTTCATCCCCCTTCTATATCAAATCAGTTCAAAAAGAAACAATACAACTTGCCTCCTAACCCTAGCTCTGGTTGTGGATAACTACATTGATATAAGGATTACCCTTACCGGAATAAGAAGTGCCTACCTTGTAACCATATCGGGCACGGGAGCTCACAAAGCCGTGCGAGAAAAAAATGTTAATAGCTGCGCAAAAAACACAAACTCCGATGAACAAGATGGGTTAAACTTTACGAAATACGCGCGTACAAATCATAAGTAAAAATATCAAATTACAGGTGGATTCTGGGTCGGATTTGACAACCATAAATCTACACACTTGGAAAACGTTGGCAAAACCAACCTTGCTAAGATCTAATAAAATTGCCAGGTCCGTGACAGGGGAATACATCAAGATTGACGGAGAACTTATCACAAATGTAACTTTTCATGGATGGACGTTAAAACTAAAAACGTACATATCAAAGAATACAGAAAATTTATTTTGTCACCGACTGGATGGAGACATTTTAATTGTGAGACATGCTAATTAATTGATTTTGCCAAAAACTCGAAAACCTGACCACCGAGGCAAAAATACAATAAAAGATTTAAAAACTTTGCTGGAAGTTTTTTTTCCTGGTGGCCTTAGTCGGTGTAATAAGATGACGGCAAAATTCGGGTTAAATGATGACATCCAGCCAGGATTTAAGAAAAAAAAAAGAAATATGCCTTTCGCCCCATTTTACCACAAATAAATGAAGAACTTGACAGACTAGAAAGAACCGGGGTCTTGTAGAAAATTGAGTACAATCAATGGGCCTCACTGACCGTCCATGTGAAAAAAGAAATCAAAGGAGATTCGGGTCTGCACTGATTTCTGGACGGGGCTTAATGCTGTACTCAAAGACTATCCTTTACCAATTCCGGAAGAAATTTTTGCGAAACTAAATGAAGGAAAATGCTTTTTCAAAAATCGACCTCAGTGACACATATCTTCAAATACCGGTAGAGGAAGAATGTTCTAAGTTGCTCTGCATCAACACACTTCGTGGTTTGTACAAGTTCCAACGTTTAATTTGCGGGATCAATGTCGCGTCGGC